CTTTCATGACACTACATATGCTGGGGTGTGAATTTGATAGGTGCTTGATATAAAATAAATGGTGCTTTAAAAAGTCCTTGAATCTGGTGTTCATGAAAGAGTGGGAACCCTGTCCAACACAGAAATGGTTTAGTCATCAGAAACAGCTGGAATAATCAAGTCTTTTTGAGTCTTGTATTTTTTTGATTTTATAGTATTTTAGTCTATTTGAGCTAATTGAGTGATTTTACTTGACAGGTAATATTATGAAATATTACCTTTTGAAATAAATGTTTTCTATGTGAATATGTTAAAATGTAATTTATTCCTGTGATCAAAGCTGAATTTTCAGCATCATTACTCCAGTCTTCAGTGTCAGAAATTATTCTAATATGCCGATTTGCTCAATGTTGAAAAAAATGGGGTGTGAATTTGATAGGTGCTTGATATAAAATAAATGGTGCTTTAAAAAGTCCTTGAATCTGGTGTTCATGAAAGAGTGGGAACCCTGTCCAACACAGAAATGGTTTAGTCATCAGAAACAGCTGGAATAATCAAGTCTTTTTGAGTCTTGTATTTTTTTGATTTTATAGTATTTTAGTCTATTTGAGCTAATTGAGTGATTTTACTTGACAGGTAATATTATGAAATATTACCTTTTGAAATAAATGTTTTCTATGTGAATATGTTAAAATGTAATTTATTCCTGTGATCAAAGCTGAATTTTCAGCATCATTACTCCAGTCTTCAGTGTCAGAAATTATTCTAATATGCCGATTTGCTCAATGTTGAAAAAAATAAAAATGTTTGTGCCATTTAACTTTTTTGTAAACCATGATACATTCTTTGATGATAGCATTAATTTGTAATAGAAATTGTGAGATGTATTCAGTGTCACTTTTGATCAAATTACCGTATTGACCCGAATATAAGACAATGTTTTTTTCTTGGAAAGTTTCTGATTAACATGCAAGACTTTCTCTCTATGAGAGTCACTATGGAAACAGACGCTGAGATAAAGCCTGCCATACTACTTCTTTCTTCTTCTTCTGTTCAAAGGCCATTGGCATACTTGGTTCATATCGCCACCTAACTGGTGGTTGTGCAATCATCAGATTTGTATTTTATTATGGAAATACATAATAGAAAATGCCAATCCATGATGTGTGAGTTGTCATAACATAATAATGTGTTAATTATATATATATAAAATTAAACATTACCTTGTCATAAAAGTGTTTTATAATTTTTTACAGATAATTATTATATATGCCAATAAAATAAATATAATAACCGTCAGGCAGCGAGAGAAAGAGAAAAACATTTCTGCACTTCTGAAGCTCAACTTCTTCAGCTCGACAGACCTGCCATTTCCTTCAGGCTTTACTTTCTCTGGCTATGCGGCGTTTCTTATTAGCCCGCGGAAATGGAGAGCAGATACTGAGGCGCGTTTAAAGTGGTAGAATGTAACATGAGAAGAGGATAGAAAGTTTTCAAATCGAGCTCATGTTAAGGGACTCTACAACCGAGCGATGCTTTACTGGCTAAATTAAGCATCAGAAGCTTCCAAAAAGAAACCTCGAGGTGTTCAAGTCCTCGTTTTCCATTGATAGTAAGCTTTTTTTTCATCTCCTTCACTTGTTAGGGAAACGCCTTTCCAGCCTTAAAGGTATGTTTCCTCGCTTTTCCTCTGGTCTTCAGTGTGTCCTTCTAGATTGATTTCGTCTTGAGATTCAGTTGCTCATGATGCATGACGATAAAGCCTGAACAAAAGACACTGTATAACTTGTTTTGCTGGTATTTGTGGTCTTGTGCCAGTTATGTGATCTAGAGTGGGAGGGTCTCCAGATGTGCTTCCAGATGTGAGCTGGAGTTCTTCAGTGCAAAAGACAAAAAATGTGCAAAACTCTTCCAGAATACAAGGAGCTTGAAGTTACACTTATGCAGATAATGGCTTCATGAGCACTGGGAACTGTGGAATAAAGACTTGAATCTGTTTTGTTTCAAACAGGAATGAGAGTTGAATGAGGAGCTGGATGACAATGGAAGCCACTTTGTCAAACATCACGCTGGCATCCTGATTGCTTAGCCGTGGAGTTACTTGGTTCATATCGCCACCTAACTGGTGGTTGTGCAATCATCAGATTTGTATTTTATTATGGAAATACATAATAGAAAATGCCAATCCATGTCATGATGTGTGAGTTGTCATAATAATGTGTTAATTATATATATATAAAATTAAACATTACCTTGTCATAAAAGTGTTTTATAATTTTTTACAGATAATTATTATATATGCCAACAAAATAAATACAGTAACCATATTAGAATAAAATATTACCTTATATATTACTTATATTAGTGCTTTATATTTAACATATATATATATATATCAGCAGGTTATGTTCAGAGAGTAGGTTGCTATGGCTACTTACATACACTGAGAGTTACCTCTGTTTTTGGAACCGAAAGCCGAGTTTATCCACTTGCTTACCTTAAATATGTCACATAACCTGCTTTGTGGAATACCCCCCTGGTCTTTTAAATTGTAATAATATTACTGTTTTTTTTTCTGCATTTTTAATCAAAATAATCAAATACATGCAAATTATTCAAAAAAATTTTTTTCATGAGAATAGGAGATTGCTTTTAGAAATATTAAAAAGTCTTAATTATTTCAAACCTTTATATGTGTAAGTGTGTTTTGTTTAGGAGAAGAATCTTCTTTGTATGCAGTATGATTGTAGTGAATAAGCGTAGCTTTACTCTGTATGTTTACCTTTATTGTCTTGTAGTGTTTGTGGTTTGCAAACTTGGCAATGACTCCCAGAAGGCGGTTCAGCTGCTGGAGAAGATGTCGATGCATGACGATAAAGCCTGAACAAAAGACACTGTATAACTTGTTTTGCTGGTATTTGTGGTCTTGTGCCAGTTATGTGATCTAGAGTGGGAGGGTCTCCAGATGTGCTTCCAGATGTGAGCTGGAGTTCTTCAGTGCAAAAGACAAAAAATGTGCAAAACTCTTCCAGAATACAAGGAGCTTGAAGTTACACTTATGCAGATAATGGCTTCATGAGCACTGGGAACTGTGGAATAAAGACTTGAATCTGTTTTGTTTCAAACAGGAATGAGAGTTGAATGAGGAGCTGGATGACAATGGAAGCCACTTTGTCAAACATCACGCTGGCATCCTGATTGCTTAGCCGTGGAGTGACAACCTTATCAATCCAACGTGTGCAACATGTGCTGGAAATCACACAGCCAGCCATGAAGCATGCTATCTGGATTGCATGTTCTTAGAGGGAAACGTAGCGAAAAATAGGCACCTTATTCTTTGGTCCGATTTCGCTTCCTCGTACGGCACGGATTGCACATGACCGTAGCGATTCTCTTCACCTGCCTTAGGACAGAAGAATATTGTGTTTAATTAAAAACACAACCCGCCCACTCACTAGATATCAGCCACGGTTTCCAAGCTTGTCAGTTTTACACGGTTTACTTTCAATCTGCGGAGGAAACTAATGTCTGCCAGTAGTAGCACCTCTCCTCTGACCTTACCTAAACCCTTCGTCCACTCTCAGCATCAGACTGCACCCCCAACCCCCTCTCCATCACCCAGCCCTCCGGTGCCACTCTGTGTCCGTCTCTCCAATGGGAATCACAGCGTTCCGAGCCCCACCAGCTCCCTCCACGGAGTGTCCTTCCTCCTTCAGATCGGACTTACTAGGGAGATGGTCACCCTGGAGCCACACGATCTGTCCCTCAGTTCTGTGAAGGATTTGGTCTGCTCCATAGTCGATCAAAAGGTAATAACGTTTCAAGGATATTTCTTATTTGCATGATCTACTCGCTTACCGAATCTAGGCGCTTGGTTACACTTTATAACATCATTTGATAGTGTATGTCAAATCTCTACACATGTTTGCTTCAAAAGTATATATGTTTTCAGACCACATGATTATTTTTGAAATTGAGTTCTGGTCATTTCTGTAAAAGGGTAAGACTAATTGACTGATGCGAGTTGTTTCCTGTAATCTTCAGGAAGTTGATTTAGGTGGATGAGCATGAGGAGCATTAGTGACTGATTAAAGAACACATTTTCATTCAATCTCATCTAAATCTGCTTTGATCCACATGCATTTCCACAAACACGGCAGATGAGGTGGGATGCATGTTGCTAGCAGCACATTTCCGCTGTTCAGATGGTGAAGGCAATGGCTATGGATTTCTGACCTCAGTCATAACTTAGTATTAAATGTATGATTTGAATTAATGTAATTTGAATGCTTGGATAGTCTAAAGAGAGAGAAAGCTGTGGTGCCAAAGGCTATGTGGCTGCTAAAGTGTTGTTAGGCCTTTTCTGTCTAGTTGGATGGATGGATAGATAAATAGATTGATAGATAGGCCTAGATATTGGTGTTACACAAAAATATTTTTGATTGTTCATTAGAGGAAAACAGGAAATCAGTCCAATCAATTAGAAAAAAAAAAAATCCTAAAGCCTAAATCAGAACAGCCTGAAGCACTGTACTGAAATGCCTATTTTTGGTCGACTTAACTCTATAGCTGTGTCCCAATTCAGGGGATGCAACCTTCAAAGGCCGCAAGGTTCGAACTAAACGTTAAATGAGATGGTCTAGCCTACAGATGATTGCTTATGACACGTAGCAACCGTGACAGCTGCTTTTGACGTGCATCAGTGATTCAGTATCATTTTAACTAGACTTTGTTTTATAAAAAAAAGTTTAACTGTCTGAAAACTGGGCACAACTAGTCTAAACATTTTCCCCTTGGTTGATATATGTGTGATAAAGTAAAAATGCATCTTTGTGCATCTCCATCATCATTTAAACCACTATAACGTTTTTTTTTGTAACATTCATATTGTTAGATATGTTTAGGTATGCAGTAGGATTACGGGATCTAAAATATGGTCATGCAAAATAAGGCATTAATATGTGTTTTATAAGTACTAACAAATAGGCAATATTCTGGTATTATGCGTGCTAGTTAATAGTGAGAATTGGTCCTTAAAATAAAGTGCTACCAAAACATGTTATTACATTTGACATTATGTTATTACATTGATGGTTACACCACATGACATTATGGGCCAGATTTACTAAACAGGGCAAATTAGCGTTAGAGCACAATTCCATAAAAGCGCTGGTGGAAGAGGAAAATTCTGCGGGTGATTTACTGACAAGGTGCACGTTAAAGAACACGCACTGTAAAAAATAAAAAGTTGAGAAAACTTAAGTTTAAGGCAACCAGCTTCAGGAGATTCGAGTTTTCTGAACTTGTTTTTGTAGGAGATTTTTGAGTTTTCTCAACTTTTTGTTGTATAAACTGAAAACAACAAGTTGAGAAAACTCAAAAATCTTCTGAAGCTGGTTGCCTTAAACTTTTAAGTTTTCTCAACTTTTGATTTTTTATATTTTTTTTACAGTGCAGATGCAACATCTCATTTCCATAATGACCAGCACAATTTACCAAGAGCAGCGCAAATTACCACCTGCTTTAAGACATGCTTTTTTTGGGCGTTAAATAATGCTGCAAATCTTAGTAAATCGCGTTGCGTGATTCATTTAAACACTCTCCTCCCATAAATTTACCGATCAAAAGGGAAACTCCTACAAATGCATATTCAATAAGATGAGGCGTGGAAATTAGTGTATCTGTGTCCCTGCCTTTTCAGCACTAATTTCCCACGGCGTGTCTTTAGTAAATCCTGACAGTAGTTCTTTAATGCCAAATGAGGGTTTGTGCTGGCGCAAGCTGATAGTAAATCTGGCCCTAAAAGTCATTAAATTGAAACTTTACAAGAAAAGTTTTACATTTTAGATTTTTATAAAAACATATAAAACAACATGAATACAAAAATATATTATAAATATAGTTTTTGTGTTGTTTTCTTTACAGTAAAATATAGGCATGTAGTTATGCATGTGTCATTGTTAATCAATGTAATATTGATATTTCAAACAGAGGTCTGGTTTTTCACATGCACTGTTATGACAGAACACAATAACCTTGAAAAATCAGTTTGAGAGTTTTTTGGATAATACAAGCACATTTTTACCTGTCTGTGTAATGCATGGGGCAGATAAGTACATGCGTACAATCTATTAGACATTTTTATTGTTTTATACATTTTTATAAATTGTCACACATTGTACATACAGTAAACACATGCTTTTTCTGAGAAGATGTTATCACCCTGTGTTTACATTAAGTCTGCTTTAATCAGCTACTTCATGTCAAAGTTTCAGTTATTGGATCTGTTAAAGTTGCAGTTTCTGTTCATATTTCTCTTTTTAGTGTCCACAATTTAGGTGCATTCCTAGTAGGTCTTCAAAAATTAATGGTTGAAATTTCGAATAAATCGATAGTGATCGAAATTATTGATTAATCGAGTTGCATGGAGAACCACTGTCATTGACAAACTCTTTAAAGTTTTTTTTTCCTGTTTTGAAAATGTAAATAGATTTATTTATTTTACTGAACACCTTCATATTTTAAATAGATTGTGCAGTATGTAGCACACATTCAGAAGATTTCTATTATGGGGAAATTTGAATTTGTCAGTTCTAGAAAAAAAACAAAAAAAAAACCTTAGACTGATCAGCACACTGTGTCAGAACAGGCTGAAGGACTGTGCCAAATTTGGAGTATGCACTTTAAAAGTCTTGAGTAAAGGATTTTGAATTCTCATTACAATCTTTTAGTTGTATTGGCTTGTTTGGTAAATCTAAATTTAGGCTTTGGTTTTTCTACCAATTAATAGAAACTGTGTAAATAAATCCCTGCCTTTTAAAACCTGTAAGCGGTGGCTTCAAATCATGGCCTTGTTCTGAAAGCAGCTATGTGGTCAGGTGACCTGTGAATGACAGCATCTGTGCCATTACTGTCTGGTAAAGAAGCTGAATATCACACTGTTAGACATTTCAAAGGGTTTTTACAGTAACTTACTGGCAACACTGTTGCCAGTAAGTTACTGTAATTAAGATTTACAGTAGCAAATTGTATTTGGTTTACAGTTGCAAACTGTACTGTTTTACAGTAAATAACTGTAAAAAATCAAATTCATCAGTATACTACTGTAATTAATTCATTTTAATATATTTCATTAGATTTTATAATTTTTATATATAATTAATTTTATTTTTACCCTACATACGTAGGTACTACTGGCATTCAATTAAAACAGACACAATAATTACAAAATATCAAATTCTTTATTTAAAACATTGCATGTAAAACACTTATAAATACAGTCTTCCAATGCTGGAACAGTGCATCTTCATTTCTCCTGTCTTAGGAAATTTTTGCAGTGCATTATGTTGTATCATCTGGATTTATCCTAACAAAGAATTTTTAGGCAACAGAAACATAATGAGGAAAATAGATAAGCAGCCAAAGAATACATAGCCATCTGCAAAACCCAGGTGCTGCTCCAAAACGTGGCCACCACCTTTGCTCACCATCCACTTTGTTAGTGACAGAAATGTCTTCTCTGAAAAACAAGTAGAAATGGCACACTTTTAAAAGGCAAACCCCATATAGAATACACAAATCTCTCAAAACCATAGTTGTTCCATGAATTACCATGAATTATCAGTCTCAGGGTGGCTGGCCTGCTCATGTCTTTCTTGATGCTTCATTGCAGTTGCCTTTAAAACACAAATACAAAAAAAAGTAACAAATTCTAAAACTAACTATAACAAAAAACTAGAAAGGCAGCTAGCCATAAAACTTGTTTAACCTAGCTAACATACGATTTTATTGATTTTATTTGCTACTGGCCAACATTAACTACTAACACCTGAACAAATTTTCACATTAGTTGCAATGTTAATACAAGATAAGCGTTGCTCGTTAAAAGTAATTTTAATTCGATAATTCAATAAGCTGACAAAAGTCGTTTGAAACGACAGCGCAGTTTACCATAGTAAAGTTTGTTACCGCTATGTTGACGGGTAAATGTTACTAGGTTAAACTGGTGTGCAAAAATGTTGACACAAACAGACAGACAAACGTACATATATTTTTTACCGCGCTGGTTCCATGTCTTCCTCGGACGCGAGTGGCGTGCCGCGACTCGACAAAAGACAATATAGAACCCATTATACTATC